TACAACCAGAGGTTTGATGTTCTATAGAGATTTTTTTTTTTAATTTAAGAAAATAGCCCAATTTGAGAGTCTCTTTAACATGTGTGGAGGTAGGTAGAGGAAGCCTGAGAAGGAAAGGGGAAGCATGAGGACTCCGGTGACAGCAGAAAGAAAAAATAGGTGGGAGAATAGGCAGGAGCTTGGGAGCTGCATGTTAGCTTCTTGGGAGTCACATGTGGCCTTTGGACTTTCCTGGGTGAATGCTCTAAAACCACCAGATTATCATGTAAAGGTGATAACTAACACCTCCCCCTTCCCTATGATTTTGAATAAAAAGTGGATTTAAGTGCTGAACTTGAAACTCAGGGCATTCCTACTAGATTGGGTCCCGATTACTTATAGGGACGTTAATATTGTTGATCTCAATCAGCCTTTGGCAGGAGATGGGTGCTGAGCTACTTAGTTAAGCCAAGATGGTAGCACCTGTGCATATACTCTGTAGCTATGCTTAAGGAGATTTCATTTCTATGAATCCCTCTCTTGGAACTGGCACTTGATCAGCCCCATTTTAGATGCTTATGTTTCTTTGATGATCTCACCGAGTACCTCACAGTATTCATGCACTAGATTATATAACACTTCTGTAAGGCAGTGAAAAATGATTGGCTTCATTTTACAGATGAGGAACTGATGCACTAAGACAAAGTGCCTATTTCACCTTTCATACCACAGTGGTATGTACACAGATGTATGAGTCTACCTCATTCCCAGCAGATGTGGATTTCTGTTGCATCGATGGGACTAGACTAACTCACTGGATTGTGACTTTGACATCCCTTTTCAAGCTTTGAACCACATCACTTCTGAATGCCCTCTCCATGCATGTAATGAAACTGTATTGGATTTGCACGATATTACACTTGAGGCAATCAGCTGGCTGCAAAATTTGGACATAAAATTGTACATATGTTTTTCCTTGCTGGGTGTAGCATCACATGCTTAAAAAAAAAAAGATGCATGAGTGGAATGTTTCAAACGTATGCAGCTTTTAGATTCGATTGTCCAGGTATTCTGCAAAACTAACTGAAGTAGGGAAAAGAGACGGAGGATTTTATAATGTTTTCGGCTAACAGCCTAATGGTTACAAGCACTTGCCAGGCAGTGGGACATTCATTTTTTAGACACCCGTCCATCTTCACTCAAAGGAGGTTTGAATCCACAGGGACTTCCTAAAATACTTTAACTGCCAAGCTAGGGGGTAGACATTGCCAGGGTGCTCTACATCCCTCCTCTTGAAGCTGGCCCATTGGAAGTCAAAAGGGAAATATAACTGTGGGGCCAGAAGGATGAAAGCAAAGCAAAAGAACTGTGGCTGAGTGAGCAGGACATTGCCCTGAAAAGAAAGGGTCTGTGGGTTCTGGACCTCTGCCTACCTGTGGCTTTTCTGCAGCTTGCATTTAATAGTTGTTCAATAAAATAAACAAACAGTAGCAAGATAATTTTTGGCTCAGTGTATGGATTATGTATCTACCTGGACAATCTTATTCTGTCCTGTAGGTCATATATCCATAGTGCAACCTTTTAAGCAGTCTCAAAAGAGAAATGAAGAACAAGTTTAGCAAGTGGACAACTCTGCAATGGTGCCAAAAATTGCACATGTGCCACTATATAAGTGCCACACAAGTACTTAGAAATTAGATTTGGTCCTAAGAGTGAAATCAACAATGTAATTTAGGTACTGTGTAACTTTTAAGCCCTAGGGTCTCCAAATGGATTCCACAGCCTGAGCTAGATAGTTATGTGGATGGAGTCAGGTGCCCCAGAATGGGATTCTCAGCAACCAGCATGGTGTACTGGGAGACACTTACCATCACCAATGGTTACATCCTATCCTACTATGGAGTAGAAGCACCAACCTCCAGCTAATAACCCATCTTCATCCTAACTCCCTTTTTAGTATAACCCAGTGCATTCTCCCCTTTAGACAGCTCTTATCCATCTTGCAGTTAATCCACTATGGAGCATCAGCACCAACTTTCTGGTTATAAGATATTCTGGTAGCAGGGAAGCCTTCCACTTCCTGCAGAAGCTGGGCAAATTTGAAAACAAAAATTGAGACTCTTTGGCCAGAGATAGAAAGCAAGTGTCTTTAGTCCACCGGTAAGAGCACTGGACTTGGAGAAAGGAGACCTAGATTTCAATTCAAAGACCATTTTTTTTTAAACATTGAAATTTTTAAATTAAAAAATGCACAGAATTAGAACTCTAGGTACCCTACAGTGGACTTTCTAGGAGGGGGGAAAATAGGTTCTTAAAAGGGAAGGTTGGAAACAAGGTGGACAGTCTTGGGTGCTTACATTTTCCCTAAGTCTTGCTTTACACAAAGTTATCTCCAGGTCTAAGGAGAT